TACTTTCTCCAGTGCGTGGCTCCTGGGCCTGCCCCACAGCTCACACCCTGCTCTGCCTGGGCCCTGCGCCATGAGTACCACCTGCAGTACCTGGTGCTCTCCTTGGCCCAAAAAGTGGTGGGTTCCTGTCTGCGGAGTCAATCCCACACTTACCCCTGCCTCTCTGTTGCCGGGGCTGTTTCTGCAGGCCATGCACTTCCTCCTGAGGCCAGAGTCCCTGGTTCATGTCCTCCACCTTCCTGTCCACTTCCTCACTCTCTGTCCGCTCCATGCCGCCCTCCCTGCACTGACTAATGTCCTGTCTTCCTCCCCAGGCACCACTGCACCCAGAGCCAGCCGCCAACCCTGCCCTCCACCATGCTCTGGCCCTGGCCCTGCTGAGCCGGCTGCTGCCTGGAAGTGAACACCTCGCCCAAGAGCTGCTGCTGAGCTCTGTGTTCCGGCTGGAGTTCCTGCCGTGAGTCCAGGGGGTTCAGGCATCAGGTGTTTGGCACTTTTGGATACTGCTTAATTTTGTTACCCAAACAGCATCTTGGAGCCAAGAAACCTAGGTTTTAGTTTCTTTCCTTCAGGTATTATACTTAATTTGTTATTCCCTCAGTAAAGTGAAGATGAGGCTATTCATCTTCGTCCCACCCGAGAATGATAAGACTTCACAATGTGACTGTGGCTAAAAAATGGAGCATAAGCTGGGATGCCGCTGAACAGTAGACGCCTGTGGCATGTGCGAGGCTGATTCTATGGGGGACCGGGTATGGTAATGCACACCCGTCATCCCAGCACTTGGGAGATAGCAGCAAGAAAGTCAGGAGTTCGAGGCCAGCCTTGGCTACCTGTCAAGTTCTAGGTCAGCTGCATGAGAAAGAGACTGTCTCAAAAGTAAATAAATAAATAAACAAGAGCTGGTTGGAACACACCAGAATGAGGCTGTCTCATGAATAAATAAGGAAATAGGAGTTGGGTAGAACACACCTCAGTCCCAGCACAGCTCGAGATCAAGCACAGACGTTTAAGTCAACTTGCCTCTGTCCCATCTCCTAACTGCTTTGCAACATTGTGGTGTGAGGCGCTCTCAGGGGAGCGGAAAGGCCCAGGACTGCATTTGGGAACCCTGGAGCGCTGATGCAGCTGTCTAGATACTATGGTCCCAGCCCTCAGTTTTGGCTTTTGTGTCCTGTTGTTACAGGGAAAACGCGTCAGGTGGTCCAGAAGCAGCTGACTTCTCTGATGGACTGTCCTTAGGGAACAGTGGGGACCCTCAGTGTAGACGAGGGGCTCTCCTGGTTCAAGCTTGCCAGGATCTCCCTAGCATCCGCAGCTGCTACCTGGCCCATTGTTCACCAGCCCGAGGCAGCCTGCTGACCTCCCAAGCCTTATACCGTGGGGAGCTGCTGCGAGTCTCAAGCCTGCTGCTGCCTGTGCCCAGGGAGCCACTGCTGCCCACCGACTGGCCCTTCCAGCCACTGATCCATCTCTACCATCAGGCTTCAGATACTCCCTCTGGGCTTCCTGCTGCTGACTCTGTAGGCATCGCCACGCGGGTCCTACAGTGGGTGCTGCTTCTGGAGAGCTGGCGCCCTGAGGCCCTCGGGGCGGTGCCTCCTGCCGCCCGCCTGGCACGGCTCATGTGTGTGTTCCTGGTGGACAGCGAGCTATTCCGAGAGACTCCGGTGCAGCATCTGGTGGCGGCTCTTTTAGTGCGGCTCTGTCAGCCCCAGGTCCTGCCAAGCCTCAACCTGGACTGCCCACTCCCTGGCCTGACGTCTTTTCCCGACCTCTATGCCAGCTTCTTGGACCACTTTGAGGCTGTCTCCTTTGGGGACCACCTGTTTGGGGCTCTGGTCCTCCTTCCTCTGCAGCGCCGCTTCAATGTCACCTTGCGCCTCGCTCTCTTTGGGGAGCACGTGGGAGTCCTGCGAGCCCTGGGCCTGCCGCTGACTCAGGTACGTGCTCAGCCCTCAGGGTCTGCCAAGACCCCTGTACTGGACCCTTGGGGCAGTCCTGAGCAGTGCGGAGCTTTGGGGGGCCTCGGTTCCTCATTTTACCATCAGGATGGTAGAGAACAGAAGGGACCCCTTCCCTTTCTGGAATCTGGCAGACAGAGAGTAGGTACCCATATTAACAAGGGTTGGCTTCTGCTTATAAACTCCTGCAGTCTAGATGAAGGATATGCTGAGACCAAAATCAGAACCATACTTCTTAATTACTCAGATTCTTGGCTTGTTAAGTCGGAATTCAGAGAATTTTTAAAACGATCAGAGTGGACTTCCCATAAGGAAAAGGTGTTATGGGGGAGATAGGTTTGACCTGGTGTGGAAGTTTGGGGAGAGTTTGACTCTTTTGAGAAATTTCTGTGGAGCACTTACTGGAAATAAGGCTAAGAAACAAAGTTCTAAAGGGTGGTCAGGCTCACGCTGGGCATGGTGGTGCACGCCTTTAATCCCTCACTCAGGAGGCAGAGGCAGGCCGATCTCTGTGGTTCCAGGACAGCCGAGGCTGTAACACAGAGAAACCCTGTATTCAAAAACCAAATAAATAAGTAAGTAAATAAATAAGTAATGATAAATCAATAATAAAAAAGTTTTAGAGCCAGATGTGGTAGTGTACACCTTTAATCTCAGCACTTGGGAGGCAGAGGCAGGTGGATCTCAGTGAGTTCAAGGCCAGCCTGGTCTACAAAAAATCAAGTTCCAGACAACTAGGAATGTTACAGAGAAATCCTGTCTGGGGAAAAAACAAAACAAACAAACAAAAAACACTTAAGAAATCAATACTGTGTGTGTGCTGGAAATGGAACCCAGGGCCTTCTGCATCCCAGGAAGGTGCTGGGGCTCTAAGCCACACCCCAGCACTGGTCTCTGCTTTTTAGCTTTCATCCATGTACTAAAGAAGGGAAATGTCCTTCTGGGGCCTGCTCTCTGCCCTTAGGATTTAGTTATTTGTGACCAGCAGTCAGTCAGTGTCCACTGATGCTCATGTCCACCCTCGCTCTCAGCATATCCTTTCTCTCCATGACAGCTGCCTGTGCCCTTGGAGTGCTACACAGAGCCTGCTGAAGACAGCTTGGCTCTCCTGCAGCTCTACTTCCGGGCCCTGGTTACCGGCGTGCTCCGTCCACATTGGTGCCCTGTCCTCTACACTGTGGTCGTGGCTCATGTCAATAGTTTCATCTTCTCTCAAGACCCAAAGAGCTCAGTGAGTCACATCCCAGTGTTCAGAGGGAGGGGGAGCTAGTGGGCGGGCCAGTTGGGGAGGGGGTGAGGGTTCAGCAAGGCCAGTGCTGAACTAAGTCCCACATCTCCCTCTTCTGCTGCTAGGATGAGGTGAAGGCTGCCCGAAGGAGTATGCTTCAGAAAACGTGGCTGCTGGCAGATGAGGTAGGACTGTGGGTATTAGGAAAGGGAAGGATACGGGGTGGGCTGGGGTGGGCTGGGGCTTAAGGAACCAAACCTCAACAGACTCACCCCCCACTTCATGGTTTTCCCCTCTCTACAGGGTCTGCGGCAGCATCTCCTCCACTATAAGCTTCCCAACTCCAGCCTCCCAGAGGGCTTTGAGCTGTATTCCCAGTTACCTCGCCTAAGACAGCAGTACCTGCAGACATTGCCCACAGAGGTGCTCCAGAATGGAGGATTCAAGACGTAGTGCACTAGGCACCAGCTAGAGATGGATATATTCTCCTGGGGCTTGCCAGCGGAAGTCTGCTCTAACAGAAGAGCATCAGTCCATAAGGGAAGTGGGGGACTTGCCTTCCTGAGAGCACATTGTTTGAGCCATTTTTAGAACAGAAGGAACTCGTATTACATCCCGATACTGGAGCTGAGGATCTGGGGCTCCGAGGGCTTTGCTAGGAGTGGAGGGTGGACCTGTTTACCCCACTGTGGGCACAGAACAGTCTGAGACCCTTCTCCTCACCCACTCCAGTCCTTACCAGACATGGGTGTATGATTGCTCTGCCACCCGTTGAAATAAATTCTTTTCTAGTCTAGCTGGTCTGAACTGGTTTTTTTGTGTTCATAGTTGGTAGCAAGGGTGGATTATCTCTAGAGAAGTGGGAGAAAAACATCCCAATGGGAGGTAGAAACAGTCTCCATCTGCAGATGGCAGAGATGTGTGTCCTAGAGGTTTGTGATAGTGACAATGCTCTTGGGACTGGGTGTGGTCCTGGAGAACTCAGTGCAGGCCCCTGGAAGTACAGGGGTCAGTGAGGCCAGATGTCAGCCTGATGAAGTACTTTCCAATGTGCCCTTCTCGGTGGGCTTTTTTTTTTAAAGTTTATGTGTGTATCTGGATGAATGTATGCCGTGTGTGCAGGTACCCACAGCGGCCAGGAGATAATGCTGGATCCCCCTGGAGCTGTAGTTTTAGGGGGTTGTGAACTGCCTGCTGTGGGTACTGGAAACCAAACCCAAGTGCACTAACCACGGAGCTGTCCCCAGCCCCACACAGTGGACTTCCCTTAGTAGGACTGTGATGAGAGGAGTGGATCAAAACACACATTGACTTAGTTCATTTTATTTACTTATTTTTTTAAACAACTGTGCACCACTGCCCTCAGCCTTTTAAGTTACATTTTATCCAGTGTGTGTGTGTGTTTTTAAGGGGTGAGGGTCTGAGAAGCACTTAGAAGTGAGTTCTCCCTCCACCGTGTGGGTCCCACGGATCTAGTTGAGGTCATCAGGTTGGCAGCAAACACCCTTTTGCTGGCCCTGTTTTAACGTTTCAGTGGTCACCATTTCACTGCCTGGCCCTGTATTTTATTTTATATAGAGTCTCTTGTGACTCAGGTTGGCTTTGAACTCCATGTGTAGCATAGGATGGCTTTGAACTAATCCCTCTTCCTTTATCTCCAAAGTGCTGGGATTGTGGGCATGTGTCATCACACTGCTTGCTTTTTGTTTGCAAGGGTTTTTGGCTTTTTGTTGGTTGGTTGGTTGGTTGGTTGGTTGGTTGGTTGGTTGGTTGGTTTTTTTGAGCCAGGGTTTCTCTGTGTAGCTCTGGCTGCCCTGGAACTCACTCTGTAGACCAGGATGGCCTCATCGAGATCCACCTGGCTCTGCCTCCTGAGTGCTTAGATTAAAGATGTGCGCCACCACCACCACTGCTGGCCCGGCTCAGAATTTAAGTAGTTAGTTTCCTGCTAGGTACAACTTCAGTTTTCCTCTGCAGGTGGTTGAAGGAAATCCTTTGCAAAAATGTATTCTTGTAGGGAGGTTTTGTCCTCTTTTGTTTCAAAGTGTTACTCTTGCTCAGGATGGTCTGGAACTCATAGCAATCCTCCCTCCTCAGCCTTTAAGTGCTGGAATTACAGGCATGAGCCACCATGCTTGGCTTAACATTAGCATTTTGAACAAAAGATAGAGAATACAATACACAAAACAATTTGAATGCTCAATTCCAGTGGCTCTCTCAGTAAGTGGCTGTTGTGTGACTTCCAGAAGTTTCCTAGCACATGATTGGCAGGTGTGGACTGTGGTTGTGCTACTCTGTATTGCCTGGGGTGCTAGCGCTTGGGTCCTCCGACACATTTTTTAAAAAATTTGATTCGCTTTCGGAGAGGAGGTCTCATGTAGCCCAGGCTGGCATCTAGTTTGACAGCAGAGGATAACTTTGAGCATTGGGTCCTCTGCACCTGGCAGATACCGGATTAGAAGTGTGAGCTACCATGCCGGAATTCTCAGATACCTTGTCCAGTCATAGCAGTAACAAGTTGTGCACAGGACAATGGAACTGTGTGCAAACCCAGAAAGTCTCGTCCTGAGGTGTCAGGGGTGATAACCCTAGCAATGCCTTACTGGGGACAGTTTAAAGAGTACTTCCTGCAAGGCATTGTGGCATATGCCATTAATCCCAGCACTCAAGAGGCGGGTAGGTCTTTGGAGGACAACCTGGTTCTACATACTTCCCATGTGTGATCATTCACACACACTAACACTGCCACCAATAAAGCCGTTCACTCTGTTCCTATCCTGAAAACCACAGAAGCCACCGCCTAGGATGTGGCTAGCTGCCATCCAGGCTGCTATCCCAAAAGAATAGAATAGGTCCAACTTTTACTCCTACCACGAACTCACCCTAATTGTTAGGGTGGCCAGAGGACGAGCCAGTGGCTCGTGACTGAGAGCCCCTCCGTGGGAGTTCAGCAAGGCTCCTCCCGGAAGCTTGGGGACCTCACTGCCCACATGCCCCGCCTTTTCCTCCTCTTGCTCCCCACCCCCCATGTGGGCGTAGTCAGGCCAGCTCCAGGTCCGCAGAGCAGTGGGGATGGCCCCTTAGCTGGAACCCACGGATCCGATGATGGGCTGCTCCTGCCCGCTGCTGCTGTGGCTGGGAGCTGCCGGTGAGTACTGTCTGGTGGTCAGGGTACCAGCCAACTAGACACACCTAGATTTAGGGCTTCGCCAGAGACAGACCGGGTCTCTATGTTTCCTTCTAAGGCGGCCTCGAACCAAAGCTCTCTAGTCTGTGCCTTAGTGTGCAACCAGAGAAGCGCGGAGCGCATACAAATTTAAGAATCAGGTGGGCCCCTGGCACTACCTGGGAGTAAGGACACCGGTCTAAATGGAGGAAAGGGGTGGGGGGTGCTTTACCACCAGGCATGGCTCAGCCCCCAAGTCACTCAGCGAGAACTCCGGAATGGAGAATCTGATATATGCAGACACCTTGCGGGGCTCGGGCGACCTGGTTGGGTGGTAGGTCTCTGGCTTCAGGCTCTGGTGTGTGCCAGCTGGGTGGTATTAGGGGTGTGGCTACAAGCCGGATACTGTTGAGTGGCCGTCAATCTCTTATGTCTCTCCACATTCTGCACCTTCTTCTAACCTCTCTTCCTCCCTGTCACCTTTCAGGAACTATTCTTTGCTCCAACTCAGAGTTCCAGGCACCTTTGCTAACATCCTCGCCCTTGCCGGTGCTAGTCTCCAATTCCCAGGAGCAGAAAGTCACCCCCACGCCCAGTAGATTGGAGCCATCTTCCCTCCCAAATCCTCTAGGTGGGCTTCAGGCTCCTCCCTTTTCTTGGCTCACCATCACCAGATTCCTAAGTCTGGACAGGCACTCCACTCTTTCCTTCTCCCTTGCACCTAGGCGCACGGGGGCCTTGGGTGTTCAGCACCTGTGGCGCCAGCGGCCGGCGGGGGCCCACACAGACACAGTGCGACGGGGCATACACAGGAAGCAGCGTGGCGGTGACGGTGGGAGCTGCTGGGCCGCTGCAAGGCGTGCAGCTGTGGCGGGCGCCAGACACCGGCCAGTATCTGTAAGTGCCCGGCAAGGGCGAGGGTGGCAATCCCTGCTAGCCTAAGGTTCTACAGTCCGGGGATCAGGACCCAGAGCACCATCACTTTTTGTCTTAAAGTATTCCGCAGCGATGCCTAGTGTCTGTCAGTCGCATGGATGGCTTGTCCTTCCAGCCAGAAGTGTAGCAACAGGACCCGAGTTAGCGGGTAGCAGGGATCCTGTTACCATGGACAGGACGGCCGCCTCATCAGCAGTGGCTCCAAACGGGGCTCGACCCTTCCCGCCATCTCCATTAACACTCCTGAAATACGCGTGGAACCTAACTGCAAACCCAGTTTGCCCATCCCTTCACAGTCGGCCGCACGAAGCCACTTAGCAGTTTCCCGACCGCGGGTTTCCGACCTCCCGCCGCAGCCTGGCCCAGGACGGAGGCGCCAAACCCTGCGTCCTCTTCCCGCAGGATCTCCGCCTACGGAGCCGCGGGCGGCAAAGGCGCCAGAAACCACCTGTCCCGGGCGCACGGCATCTTCCTCTCGGCGGTCTTCTTCCTCAGTCGAGGGGAGCCGTTGTACATCCTTGTGGGGCAGCAGGGCGAGGACGCCTGTCCCGGAGTAAGCGGAGCCGGTGGGAAAGGGGCGCCCGGGCGGAGGGCTGGGGAAGGCGTCCTTGTTGCCTGGACAGCAGTACGGGGAGGAGGGTTCCCTGGTCACGCAGATTTCCACCTTGGTGCCTCTCAGGGCAGCCCTGAGAGCCAGCTCGTCTGTCTGGGAGAGTCTTGGGCCACCGGAGAGCATGCGGCAACGGATGGGACCGGAAGGGTCCCAGGCTGGAGACGCTGGGCCGGCGGGGGCGGGGGTGGCGGGGGTGCCACCTACATCTTCCGGGTAGGTGCACGGGGTAGATGCTGGTCGCCTCGATCCCTAGCTGGGCGTTAGGGTCCCAGGCTCCTCTCTCTGTCTGGGTTCCGGAGTCGGGGGTGGAGGGGTTCCTCCGTCCACGGGCGCGGCCCTTGACCGGCCACTGACCCCGTAGCTGCGCGCGGGGGAGCCAGAGCCGCTGCTGGTGGCGGCGGGAGGCGGCGGAAGGGGCTACTGGAGGCGACCCGACCGAGGCCGGACTCAGGCGGCCCCCGAGAAACTGGAGAACCGCGCGGCGGCGCCTGGAAGCAGCGGGAGAGGAGGCGCGGCCGGTGAGCGCGCGGGCCGGCGGGGAGGGGCTGGCCGCTCGCACCGCCACTGCTAG